TATAATATAATTTTTATAGTTCTTATGATTATTTGAGATATTTTCTTATTACACGGTCTAGTTTTTACTAATTTTAATTAATTTAAAAAATTTTCTCTTTACTTTGAAGTTTGTCTCTCCTCCAAATCCACTCGAATTTGGCAGAGTTACTCAACTCAGGCCAAGGCCGTATCCAAGGCCCGGGCCAAAATTTAAAGCAATACTGTTGAAGAGAGTAACAAGGAGGCAGATGAGTTAGCTGAAGTAGCTGGGTAGTCCATGACTTTTATTGTAAATCGGAATAGATGTTCTCATGAATCGGGCTACAATTTCGTAGCATCAGAAAATTTCGGAAAAAATATGAAAATATTCATTATATTTTCTATTATTACAAAAATATCTGAAACTATCGGTTACTATCCATAAATCTGTTTTTTCAACTTCAGAATACTTTTTTTTTTAAAAAAAGAAGATAAAACTGCCCATTTTTTATTTTTAAAAAACTGAATTTTACTGCTTGTAACTCGGCATGTTAAGAAAACAAAGAAATAATAAAAACATAAGGTATATAAAAAAATACTACCTATTTGTATCTCTATTACTCAAATAGTGTATATGGTTTTCTTCTAAAACAATAAATGGATATTTACATAATTTTCCCAAAATTTTTTTGTGATTAATAAAATACTACCACTTTAATATTCAAAAGGAGAAAATTTCGTAAATATCTTCTTTTTGCATTTACTTAGAAAATTATTTTGTGTGGACATATTTTATGGTCATGTCATTTTTTAGTTTTATTATTGGGAAGATATTTCAATACTCTATATTTTTAGGTTTTATTTCATAATAGACTCAAGATTTTAAACATGTTTTTTTTTAAGTTAAACTAATTTAAAAAGACATGCTATTTCTAAAAACCATCTTTTCAAATTTCTCTCTTTCCCCTCACCCCTCTCTCTCTCTATTTCCCATCATTCTCGCATCACTCTCTCTCTTCCGGCTCTTTCTTCATGCTTCGAGAGAGAGAGAGAGTGAGAGACGTAGGAAGAAAAATATTTTTTTAAAAATCAAAGATTCAAAGCCATTGTAAGTTTGTACCATGTATAATCAAAGTCATTTAAAATTTGTTCCATTTATTCTTTACTGAGAATATGACCTCAGGCAATTTCTCCTATCACAGGAAGACAAGTAAAAGCCTGAAAATCGATTCTTTCTACAACATAACCCTGCATTTAATACTTAAGCATAGTAGCATGCCGAAGCATCCATGGATCAATGTTCACAAGGTTTTTACTTAACCATCCAACAATAAAATACTTTTCCTTGTCCACTTTAGCTTCCCATAGCAGAAAAGAAAGAAAAGGCAAATCGATGTGAAATGGTAAATGCAAAACCCTATAAACTAGAGACAGTGTAAAGGAATAGCAGAGGAGCAAATAAAGAAAGTCAGTTTAATTGATTTCGAGCTCAGGAAGATAGCTCATAAAAATAAAAACTTCCCAAATTTGACTCTGTATCAAGATAGGCAGATAGACGATTAGAGAGTAGAGACAGTTACAGATAAAGAGAGATAGAGAGAGAGAGGGAGAACAGAACTACTAATGGCAAGAAATGCAATAAAAACGTTAAAAAAAAAATAAAAGACTCCAAAAATTTCAAATCTCAAAAAACAGCTCAAAATGTAAAGACAAAATTCAACAGTTCCATCCCCTGATTTTCCAAACACGTATCATAAAGACTACAAATCAGGTCGAATAAATTGTTGGAAAATGAAATAAAGCTTCCGGGGATTTGAACTGTCGTGTGGAAACTAGGAATCGTAATCGAATGAAGCCCATTTAGAGAGAGAAAAGAGACGCAAAAAGCATATAGAGAGAATATAAAGCGTTAACTCATATCGAGGGATGCTAGTGAGAGGGTCTGTAATCTCAGGATGAGAGGTGAAGGAGAGAGAAATAGTAATGATAAATAAGGGGAGAGAGAGAGTGAGAAAGAGAGAGACAAAGAGAAATTTGAGACATATAAATGAAAAAAAGAGAAATGATGGGTTTAAAAAGAGCATGTTTTTATTACATTTGTTTAGGATTAAAGTAGGTCTAAAATTGCTAGAAGGTTAGAAGATATCTTTTGAGATATTGAGTTTATCAATAATTACATTTGAAGATATCTTATGAGACCGGAGTTTGTCAAGAAAATAAAACTTGAAAATAAGAGATATAGAGATTTTTTTTTTTTTTTTTTTTTAAATACCTTTAACATATAACTTTAAGTTTCAAACCGGTGTCTATTTTCATATTTGTTTGAAACTTGGAGCTACAAACTTTCTTTTTTGAAAAATAAATATGGTTTGAAATTTCAAGTTCTAAATTCCTTAACTTACGTATTTTTTGAGTTAAGAAGTGGTTTAGAACTTCAAGTTTTGAACGGCTTATATTTTAGAAAAAGTATGTTTGGAACTTCAGGTCTCCGAACCAAAGACAATTATCTATTCTTTGAATAAGTGGTTCGAAATCTTAACTTTCAAATAAGTTAGTTCAAAAAGATATGAACTCACGTGTCCTTTCCAGTCAAAAAAAAAAAAACGAAAGGGAATTCTTTCAAACAAAAGGAAAAACTTGAAAAAAAAATGAATGAGTGATGGGTGCAAAATAAAAAGGTAAGGTTTTTATGCCTTCTCTACAGCATAAAACTTATATACGTCCCCTTATCTAACCGTTCATTCTGAATGGAGGGCTAAGATTGCTCCAATCATAATGTCATGTCTCTATACTATTTTATTTTTAATTTTTTTTCTATAAACTAAATTTTAGACATCCAATCCTCTATTAAATTCCCACTAGGAAAAAATATAAAAAAATATTTTCAATAAAATTAAATGACCAAAATACCCTAAAAGTTTCAAAGGGTATTTTGGTCATTATATTTTATCGAAAATTATTTTTAATACTTTTTATAGATGAGCCCCAATGAGAAGATGGCACATATTAAATTTTATAATCATAAAATTTGTATAAACAAAACTAAAAATAGTGAGTGCTCAAAATTGGACAATTGGATGGTAGGAGATATATGGATCTTCTATATTGTAGGGGAAATATAGAAACCGTTCTCAAAATAAAAAATATTAGTTAAATAGCATAATAAAAACAAAAGATTTGAAAAAAAGAAAAAAGAAAAAAAAAAAAGGTGAAAAACAAGGGCAAAAGATTTCATGCTCCCAAGAGAGTGGCAAAACCCAACCTAGGAGTACTTTTGGACCCAAAAACCTCTTCGGCCCATATGCTATGAAATTCCAAAAAATGTGTTTTCTATGGGCTTGAAGAAAATAATGACTTAAGATAGAATAGAAGCTTTCTAATTTGTGAAAGAATAGAAGCCTGATAATTTTTGAAAGGTAAGATCTAAGTGTTAAAAAATTAAAATATCAAATTTATTCTTTTGTTATTATGATCCAGTGATTTTTATGTGGTTTCCAAAATTTCAAATAAAAAATTCTTGGAAAATTATCTCTAATATACCTTATTTTTAAAAAAATCGCAAAAAAACCTCAACTTCCCAAAACCTAGCCCACACCTTTTTTCTGAATTTTTGGTATTTTCTGGACGAAAATACCATTTACGGTAGTCTTTCTACCGTAATGTATTGCAACTATTACGGTACTTTAATTATCGTAATAGCATAGAGTATTATGGTAATTAAAATGTCAAAACAAAAGATTTTATACTCTCTCGAGTCTACTATCTATTTACTCACTCGACAAAAATTCATGCTAGCTATATTTTTCAAATCTCAAGTTTTTAAGATATAATCTTTACTTAATTTTTATATAGTTATCAAAATTTTAGAACAAAAACACTTTTAAATAGAGTGTTTTTGAGCGAGAGAGTAGATCCACATCGTACTTCGATGAGAACATGGATTTTTTGAAAAGAGAGAGGGATAGCTATGATATTAGCTTTAATTTGAAGCTTTTAAAGTATTACGATAATACCGTAAAAACTTTACGGTATTTTTATTGCCGTAATACTTTTGACTTTACCACATTCTACTTTAAAAGCTTCAAACCAAAGATAACATCAGTAAAAACATCCATGTTTCCATCGGAGTACGATGTAGATTTACTCCCTCGTTCAAAAACATCTATTTAAGAGTGTTTTTGTTCTAAAATTTGGAGAACCATATAAAAATTAAGTAGAGATTATATCCTAAAAATTTGAGATTTAAAAAATATAGCTAGTATAAAATTTGGAAAACCATATAAAAATTAAGTAAAGATTATATCGTAAAAATTTGAGATTTGAAAAATACAGCTAGTATAGATTTTTGTCGAGGGAGTAAATAGAGAGTAGATTCGAAAGAATAGAAAATCTTTTGTTATGAGGTTTGGGCAATATTATGATAATTAAATTACCGTTATACTACTTTAAGATATTATGATATTTTAATTATAGTAATACTATGTGTTATTACGGTAATTAAAGTACTGTAATAGATATTCCGTTATTACAGTACTATAAGTACCGTAATTCTATCTCTATTTATAATGGTATTTTAATTACTGAAATGGTCGTAATGCATTATGGTAGAAAGACCACCGTAAAGGGTATTTGCGTCCAAAAAATATCAAAAATTAGAAAAAAAGATGTGGACAAGGTTTTGGGAAGTTAGAGTATTTTTTTTGTGATTTTTTTAAAATTAAAGTAGATTAGCGATAATTTTCCAAAATTCTTTCCAATTTAATTTTCAGCTCGAGAGAGAAAGTGCACAGTATATGCTCCCGCGGGAGCAAAGCATAGGCGCTAAAAAACCCTTATAAAACATGGAGAATGAGGGGCTCTTACGGGTAAAGTAGGTGCCTCACGAGTTGCTTTACTGCTTTGCGAACCTGTCGGATAAAACCCTTAATCGTACGGTCGATATCAAGTCCTTCGCATTCCGCGGAGGGGTTCTGGACCGTTCGTTTTCTCCAGCCCAGCGGTTGGGCCCCACTACCAATGCCCTATAAATTCCGAGAAGAATTCCACAGGAGAACAGTTCCATGAATTTGATCAGGAACTCATTCACACAAGAAAACCCTTGCTCCTGTAAAGCCCTAGGTTCGAAAAACCCTAAAACTAAACCCTAATTTTATAGTGCTTGCAGTGCGATGCATAAATGGCGAAGAATCTCGAAGAAGCATTTCCTTGATCTAAATGAGGGTAAGGATTCAATTGCAGAGGTTTAATCCAGAACCCAAGCTCCTGTAAAACCTGGAACTGTAATTGCGCAGTAATGGTGTTAGTGCTTAAATAGCGAATAAGCTCAAAGTGGAGAAGAATTTCATTGCTTTAATGGAGCGAATGGATTCAGTTGCAGAGGCTCAATCCAAGAGTGCCCTTGCTCCTATGGAACCGCAAGCCTTAGCTCCTTCAGGAAACCCTAGGCAGCGAGCTCTGCAACAGCAAGCTCTTCACCAAGAAGCTCTGCATAAGCTCAATCTCCAACCTTTGGTTGTGTCCATGGCTTCTGATCCTTCAATCATGGGACCTCGATCGAGCAACCCTGTGAAAGCTGAGCCGTTGGATGAGAGAGAAATTGCTGAAGATATGAAATGGGAGAAGAGTGAGAATGAATCTCGGGAAAAAGTTCCTGTAAAGCGTGAGGCTGTGTTGGCTGATCTCAATGTGGATCCACCTGAAAGTGACGGTGAGGATTTTATGTCAGTTGATGCCATCGACCAATCTGCAGCACCAGTTGATTGTGTAAGGTAGGAAAGTTTCTTTGTGGTTATGTAGTTCTCTTTCTCTTTATGTTCCAAATAGATTGATTGCAAAAATGTAGTGGCCATCTGATTAGTATGCTCTGCTTGGTTGTCATAATTGAATTTCTCACATTAATTGAAATATATTATCTGATTTAATTTGTTTTTGTTTGCACTCATTTCTCTTTTAATAGTTTATTGTTTGCACTCACTCTTTTTTCTAATGAGTTTTGTGAGGCTACTTGTCTTTTGGACTATTCCCTGAATTTGCACTCATTGGCCTTGCCTCTTAGTACAAAATCTTTTCTCAATTAGTGATATCCTCCTTGACTTACCAAACATTAATTAGACACTCATACCCTTTCCTTTTATCACAGTTCACCAAAAAAAGATGAAAAGAAAGAACTTCTTTCTTTCTCTTTTCCTTTCCATTGCGATTGTGTTCCACTTTTTGTTTTCTTCCTTTTATGCTTTCCGCTGTCCCAACTAATCTTATGTCAAAAGATTTTAAAAAAGAGTAGGAAAATTTTATGTTGATTGCTATTGAGTATCTTACTTTTCTTTGTTTCTTCATGTACTGTGCCAATCTTGTTTTCCTCTGGCAATCTTGTTCTCCTCTCTCCTCGTGTGGTATCCGTGTGGAATCGATTGAGTTAAAAACATGACAAATGTTGGGAAAGTATGGTTTTCTTGCTTGTTGGATCCTGAGCTTAGATTTCTGGCATATGAGAAAATGTGGGAATATTATGTGTTGTATGATCTAGTTTCCTTTTGTTTCATATCTGTATCAATCTGCCCATTATGGTTTATCGAATGTTAAGACCGGACAGGTGACTGAATCAGTGAAGGAATTGGTCTGGTTGGGTTGGACTGGCTTGCCAGTCAAAGAACTAAAAATTGAAAAGGATAATGCAAAAAATTTGATAAACAAAGAAAATATTAAAAAATAGAAAATTAAAAAATTTAAGGAAAATGTTAGAAAGAAAAATAAAATAATAACATGTCAATACATATGTCCATCATTTAATATCTCACTAGGTGCTCCAAAGCCCAAATTCCAATAACCCATCAAGATTCAAGCATTACGAAAGCAAAACATATGTAGTAAACAATGAATTATTGAAGGAGAAATAGTCATAACTCAACTCCAGATCCCATAGGGCACACTTCGTTGCAACTTACAATAGTCACTCAATTATGTTACATGACTAATTACATATTCATAAATGCTTAAAAAAAGAAGAAGAAGCAAAATTCCTAAATAATTAGCATTCTTCTTCCTTCTTCATTGTCATCTCCTTCCTCTTCACATCCACCTCCTTACTCGTCATTGAATTCCTCACAATTGATCTCTAAATCATCAACTTGACCTATAAAGTCAAAAGTAAGTTATCAATGTTTCATTATAATGAATATAATCGAAGAGATAAATTAGTAAACCAATTAACTGAAGTGCTTAAAGTTTTTTTTTTTTAGAACTTAAAATTACCTCTTTGTGGATATAATCGTCCAACTGCCCCTCAATACCTTCAAGAGTTGACCTCTTTGTCTCAACTCTTGACAACCTATTCTTCACATCTTGATCATCTCCATGTCGATGGGGTCTTAGCATATGGGTCTTTCCATGATCCTAGATTTCATAATGCTTCATAAATTCTACAACCTAAACTCTAAACATGAGTTGAATAATAGGGGAGAAATGAATAATAGTCTATTACCCTATTCTGGAGCTCAAATTGTATTGCACAGAATGCAAATCATTAAGCCTCTTGTACTCCAAACTATTTTGCAGGTCTATGGGGATGCATAAGAAAACACTCCAATTCCTTTTGTAACCACTTGCATTAATTTTGCTGAGATATAAATAGTGGGTTCTGAAGGTTTGGAGCTTCCCAACCAAACCCATTCCCGCCAATCAGCTGAAAAATGAAAATGGAAAGTTAAAATAGAGATAGACAATAAACAACATGCGAAGTATAAAAAAAAATAAAATGAAATAAATTAATAAAACGAATTGCCTAGGAGGATCTCACACATAGGTTGATCACCATTGGTCACCCAAATTCTCTTGTTGCCTTCTCATATAAAGCACATTTCCTTCCCAATCTTGACTTGCATGTGTCTCTATCTGGGTATGAAATCTTTATCATGTTATGCAAGGTGGCCCCTTCTAATGTCAAGATCTGTAAAATATTTGTGTTTGTTGTGCAATAATTGTGTGGCGAGTCACCAGCTGTGTGCATAGGGTGATGCAGTTGCGTCTCCCATCTCTCGTCTATAATATCCCAATACTTCGCATACTGGCTTTTCTCGAATGTTGCAGCAATTACCTTATTGACTCTGTACATTATATATGCAACATGTTTAAGCATTATGTTGAGTTGCTTGGAATTATAAATTCTATTTTTCTTTACATGACCATTATTTTTTAAAACTGTGGAATTTGATGTGTCTAGGAGTCCTAATGATGAAAACGGAAGAACAGATAACACATTAAAGATGAAAGACTCTGATATGACTGATGGAGAAAGCAAACGATTTAGCAAGTTGGGAAAGGGTCGTGCAAGACTTAAAGCTGAATCTCCTCTTGAATCTGGACATGAAACCGATGCCGATCAACAATGTCTTGGAGTTTCAACATCCCGCGAGGAAAAAATCGGCAGTCTTAAGGCAGTGAGTTGTTTCCCTATGTGAGTTGGTGATGCTACTTGATTTACACATTGTTGTTTTCTTGTGGAAAGAATTTCTCTAATACTGTAATCAAGTTTGAACCCTTAGTGTATGTTATTTCTATGGATTGGACATCAGAAATGCCTCATGAGCCTGCCTAGTCTGAGTTACTAATGGTTAATTGTTTTGATTGTTATTAAAATATCACGTTTGTTGGTGTTGGCCCTTTCTTGTTAGAAGTTCTTTAGTTTTTTTATTACTTTTAGTTTTATTATCAATGAAAACTTATCGTTGGATTTATCATTAGCAATGTGCAGCGTTTGCGCAAATTTCCACTCAAATAGTTTGAAACAGAATTTTCTAGAGTTCTTGTTGTACTGCAGCATTATTCTTGGAAATTTGCGGAAAAGGAAAAAAATACTTATTATTTACTGGGTTGATCTTAACTTGTTACTTATTCGCTTTGAATGTACAGACCTTTTGATACTAGATTCCATTATGTAAATTTGCAATTTCATCAGTTTGTAAAAATTTGCAGGGTTTAGTACATGTCGCACGGAAGATGCCCAAAAATGCCCATGCTCATTTTATACTTGGCCTTATGTACCAGAGGTTGGGTCAACCACAAAAGGTATATCTTAACACCCACACACACACACACATATTACGAATGTTATCATGGGACCTTTTTGGGAATGGAACCCAAGATGTCTTCTTGTGGCACCTGCCGCCCTGACCTCGAACGACTTGAGTTCCTTCCCTGTCTTCATATATTTCTTCAATAACTACTCTTTTGGGGCATTTCTTGCATATGCTTTTTCCTTCTTCAGTTCTTTGATTTTGTTCTATTTTTGTCTCCAGGCAATCATAGCATTTGAGAAGTCCTCTGAGATCTTACAACAATCTGAGGAAGAAGTCAGTAGACCAGAGTTACTTTCACTAGTCCAAATTCACCATGCACAGGTGCATGTAAGATCACATGTTGATTTAGAAATGTGTTAATTTTCAGTGTTAATTTGGGAAGCATCATCTTGTTACAAACACTTGTGATTTCATTGGATAAGTCACTCATTCCAGATGCAGTGTCTTCTTCAAGGAGCTGTTGGAGATGGCTTAAATAAAGAACTTGAACCTGAGGAGCTTGATGACATACTTTTTAAGTTAAAGGAGTCAGTACAATCTGATGTTAGACAAGCTGCTGTTTGGAATACACTGGGTCTGATACTCCTTAGGAGTGGACGCCTGGAGGTGCACACCTCATTTACTGTTTCTTGTGAAATCCATGTCTTCTTGATTGTTTTCAATTGATCCCATCTATCCTGATGTTTCTTATAATATCATGCATAAATGTTGTTACTGTTTTTTATTTTGAAGGAACATAAATGCGGTTACCATTTAGTCACCAATGTATTTCTTATGTTTCCAGAGTGCAATTTCAGTTTTATCGTCTTTGCTGTTTGTTGCCCCAGACTTCCTGGACTCACTTGCAAACCTTGGTATTGCATACCTCCAGAGGTACAAAAAATTGTACTATTCTATCTTGTATTATGCATTCTCATACTGGACCCTGTGAATCATTTCTCGGCATGCAATGCGTTTATAATGGTGGCGTTTGTTGTTCCCTGTATGGATTCTTTTGGTTTGTTTTAGATGGGTGTATTTTTCGAAGTGCTTTGCGAATAAATTTCATCTATAATCCAGAATCTGATTGAAATGTCAATGGATGAGGCTGTTTTGCATATATTTCCTGTCCATGTCAATGCAACCTCTGTTTAGTGTTTAAAAAATCACTGGCTCGGGCTCGGACTCGCACAAGTCACTTAAACTCCATGTGCCAGGTCTGAATGACTTACTTAAAAATCAGGTAAGTATGACCTGAGTGCTTAAATCTAATGTAACTTTAATAAGGGTTGTTATTGCTGTGGATGCTTAAACGATGCACAAGGTCCTTTTAATGGTCCAGATTAGGGCCAACAATGAAATTTGTTTCTTAATTTTAATTTTTTATTTAAAATAATATTAATCTGAAATTTGGGCTTTAGCTTCATTTTTACATGTAGAATTGAATAAAAATAAAAAATATTTTGAATAAAACATGTTGATCCAAATAAATTTAAGGGTATTTTGGTTATTTTTCTATGTAAAATATTTTTAAAACATTTTTGTTGAGTAATATTTATAAAGATAAACCTACACACCGAAATTCAGATAAATATCTTATTTAGATAAAAAATAAAATATGAGATCAATGTTTGGCCTATAGATATGGCCTCATGCAATCTCAACCATTGGAAGGGTGCTTGTGCACCCTTCTACCCTGTCCACATGATGTGGAAGAGATACTTTTCCCTTTTATAATTGCACTTAGCTGATGTGGGTAGTCTAACTTGGCCGAGTTGGCATTTGACTCGTGTTTGGGAACCTGGCAATTCCAAGCCCTAGTTTGTGCTTTTAAACACTAATTTATCCTAACAAGAGGACTTCTAGAAGGAAAACTTTTATATAAGGTTGCAACCTTAAAATGTAGAATTAAAGATGCACCTCAAAAATCCATCATAAAAGGTTGTTTGGATGTTGGTAAACCCTCTAATTGATCATCTCAACATCGAGATGTATGAATATGAAAAGAAAAAAAGATTTTGAGTCCACGAAATAGTGTACCTTGCAGCACATTATCTGGACCGTCCATTTTCAAGATTTTCATGTGTTTATAGATCTACTTGATTTGAACCATAGTTAGAGCTTAAAATTTTATAATTAGAGATGAAAATAGATTCTAAAGCCATCCTAATAATTTTTTATGTCAGAATTACATTTATGAAAAAATTTGGAGGTGCGCCCTTAATTAGATTATTTAAGGTTGCAACCTTATGCAAACCACACCCTTTCTAAAATTTGATTTCTTAAAGTTGCTCATGTGGTCATCTTTTGCTTTGCTTTTATGCTATGTGCTTTAATAGTAGACTACTGCTCTAACTTGGGCTTATATATTACATGCATAGTGGTGATAAGGAGAATGCTGCTAAATGCTTTCAGTCCTTGCTTCTAAGAGATCAAAACCATGCAACGGCTCTTGTCAATTATGGGGCGTTGCTTTTGTGCCAATATGGTTCTCTAATTGCAGGTATATTGTTGATATATGGAAGCCCTTTGATTGTATTCTTGCTAGAAATGCATTCATGTTTCCTACAAACAATGCCAGCTTGCTACTGCAAAAATAAGTTTTGGAATTGGCCGTGCCCCATTTCTCTTGAAATCTGATGAACTAAAGAATTAAATGTTTCTTGTTCTTGAAAAATAACTTGTATGTTTGATTCTCTGCATATGTAGAGTTGTGTTTTCTGCGAGTTGTTATCATTCAATTTGATGCTCAGGTAATAGAAATACTATTTTTGCATGCTTTCTTACTATTAATGTTTTTTTTTTTAAACTACTATGTTGAGAACAATTTCATATTGGTTTATCGTGGCTGTGTTGCAAGGAATTGGATGTGGATCTTGAACTGGTTTTGTGTGCAGTGGGTGTGTCACAGGTTTCTTAGGAAGTTGTTGATATTTCATGTGGCCATATTGATAATGAGGAAAGAATCGTTTTGTTACGGGGTTTTTGTGTTTCGATCATGTTTTAAGGATTAGATGGAAAGAATAAATGGATCCTCATGGAGGAAATTGAAATAATGGCGCATTGTGTGTATCTGTAGATATGAACTTGGGGCCTTCAATCCATCTTCTTGACATACATTTTCATAATGTTTGTCATTGTTTTTTGAGCTCTAATAAATGAGGTTCTTCCTAATCCTAGGTGTGTGGCTTGTGTGGGCCGGGGGCGCATGCATGACGTATTGAAAACAAAACAAAATGGGGCTTACCTACTCCCGCCTTCTTTTTATTTTTGATGACTGTGTGCCAGTCATAAGTTTCTTATTGACAATTTAATAATGTTTTAAATCTCAGTCAGTTTGATGAGTGTTGGTTTATATGCACTAACAGTATCGGGTGTTTTTGTAATTTTGTACTTGTAATATGTTGATTTGGTATGATTGTTGTTGTAACGTCATTCATGTCATTTGCCCCCCAATGTATTTGCGTGTAAGCTGGGAAAATGCATTATCTAAATGCAAAGTAATTTCCCAGAATCTGTCAAGTTTCAACCTATAACGTAAGTTGTTAAATTGTTTTGGACCTAAAAAGCATGTTGTGTCACTCTGGGTATGATATAGTTCAGAAAGCTTTGCCTGCTGGCAATTTTCTGTTACATGACTTGTAGGAACAGTTTGTATTCTTTAAACAAAGTTCTGTGTGATTTTGGATTTGATATTAAATCTTTACGATGTGAATTTGAAGCCAACAATTAACAAATGAAAGGGGTTTCCATTTTGCAATTTTATCTAAAAAATAAGACTCCAGATGGTTGGAATAAGGCTCAGATTATGATGATGATAATCTAAAAAATCACGAGTTTATAATTGCATAAAAAGACTGAAACTATAAGAGACTTCATTAATTTATATTTATGAGTTAAATTTGACTTCTAAAATGTTTCTAACTCCAGTTTTTCTTTCTACAGCATTCACTGAATTAATTTGTAGATCATGTATTAAATAGATAAACATTTTTCTGGATAGCTGGAACATTACAGGTCCAGGTGCTAGAGGCAGTGAAAGGGCATGTCAACCTCAAATGGAAGCTGCAAATGCTGCACGAGTATGTTTGGCATCAGCAGTGAAATCAGACCCCAAAGCTGGTCATTCATGGGTCAATCTTGCTCATGCTTATTATATGGCTGGTGACCACAGAAATGCAAACAAGTGCTTAGAGCAGGTGCTTGTTTTCCCTCACGTCAGCTATTTATGATGTATTCCTTCATTGAACAGTGCAGTATATGATTCAATCACATTTGTACTCTCCAATCTTGCTGATGCAGTCAGCTTCTTAAAGCAGTAACTTGGACATGGATGTCCACAGTTTTTGGCCATTGTCAACGTAGCTTGGATGCAAGACACTTTAGAAACTTGTGGTTGAAAAATTACTATAGGTGTGCTTGTCAATTAGAAATTAAAACCCTACCTCCTTCCTACTTCAAATGACTTGTGGATCCCTCTCAAACTTAGAGCCCCGTCATCTTTCTTGCATGCCTCATCTACTCTTCTCTCATAACACCACATGCCAGCTTCCTGCCTTTTTCTTGCTCAAAGTTCAGCCATTAACCACCTTATCAAAACCTAGCCGCCAACCCCATCCGTCTTGTTACAAATTCAGCGACCGCCCTCTGGTGACTGTAGTCGATCCATCCCAATCAAGAACTTTGAAGACCTAATCCTAGGCCAACCCATATCCAAGCTGATCATTAAGCTTCACTTCAACTCCATAAAAAGTCGATGACATCAGTCCTAGCCCTAATCCATCCAACCGTCATCCAAAACCTAATATGCCTCCACCCCTAACTCCCAATCTTAGTTGACCCATAACTATAATCTAGCTATTCTTTAGGCCCTATCTAAGCTGCCTAAGCTAGCCCTAAATTTTCGAAAACCCTAGCTTCAAATACTAATCATGGGTCAACATTTTAAAATTTCGTAACATAATGCAATGGGTTGGTCCTTTTGATTGTATAATGGAAAGATGTGTTATAAGGGAAAAACAGTGTTTTATACAAAAAACTCAGGGAAAAAAGGTGTAAACAGAGAAAACAAAGATGATGAAAAACATGGTAAAAGCAATAATCTAATGGTCAAATATTGTAAGAATATAGTACATTTAATTTTTGGTAAATGGTTATTATAGCAGAAGTAGCAGATATTTTTGTTTTGTTATTTTTGAGAATAATGGTCATTTTTTAAATTGTGAACTTGATTTTTAAAATCCGTGGCCCTACATCACTTTTTTTTTTTTTCCTTAACTTATGAACTTGATTTTGTTATCTCTTTGGTCACGCTCTGCATTTCATCTAGAGAAATAAGATCTATCAAAGTACTTGGAATGAGTGAAGAAAGTTCATTCCCAATTTTTTTCTTCATTTGCATTTCGGTACAAATTTCTACTTGTTGCATCACATGCAAGACCAAGGTTTAAAAAGTGCTTCTTATAACCGTTATAATGGCCATTATAAAGGAAATAAACCCTGCCCATGACATTATATAAAGGTAATCAGCTGGGCATAGAACATGTTCTGTACATGAAACAATGGCAATTATTTCCATTATACTGGAAGTTATATAACGGATTAACATCCCTTAGAATAACATAGTGTGGCGTGAATGTCTATATATATATATATATATATATAGGAAAACACTCATGACCGATATTTCGCTCATGGCTCATCCCCATCCATAGTCTATCAGCCGGTCCCAACTATCTGATAGTGTTTGAATTTTAATTAATTTTCTATAAATTAGATTCATCTGAAATTTCGAGCGTGTGTACATCTAACGAACTCACACCTAAATAAGACATTAATACAATAATTATAAAAAAATAAAATGATGAAAATAACCCTGAAATGTTCAAAGGGTTCATTTTTATTATTTAATTAATTAATTAATTTATTTTTTGTATCTTTCATTTCGGTGTGCTTCACTAAGGTGCCCACACCCACAAAATTTGAGGTTAACAGATTTATAGAAAAATTATTAAAATTCAAATATTGTCAGATAAGTGTGACTTGTTTGATGGACTTTGGATGGTGATGAGCTATGAGCGAAGTATTATAGAAATTTTTTTAAGAGTGTTTTCGTCCATATATATGTATGTTTTCTTTTCTGTTATTTCCACTATTCTTTTTCTTTTTGGGTTTCAGTCCCTTTTTCCCATATGTTCGGTGAAACACCATTTTTTTCCTTTGTAATGGCTGTTAACATTATAAACATAGAAAATGATTGTTCTTGTTTTGTTATGTTATGGCCATTTTCTAAACCTTGAAGGAAACATTATTGGCACAAGATCTCGAAATTTCAAATTAGGATGGCAGAAATTTGGAGTTACTGCTTGTTGAGAATTCTAATCTTTCCCTCAGAAAAATTGTGGGTGATTTGTTTTGGCAGTCTTACAATTTTGACTGGTCTTAAGTATTTGATCTGTCTTCCATTTATCATTTCTATACTTTCAGAATGTCTTTACAACATGTTGCAGCTTTGACCTCTTTTGTTTCTTTTGCTAAAAGCGCCCTCCTCCCAAGGTGAGGCTGTGATGCATTACTTGAGTGAGTAGCCCACGGGATGAGGGCTTTCGGTTGTTTTCCCGCGACTGGGTGCAGGGAAGGGCTTTGGCCATTTCAGTGTTTGAATTGATTTGGAGGAAATTGATTTGTTAGCTGCCTATTTTGAGTTGATTTGTCCAGTGAAGGTCCTCTATTATGTTTCGACTTTCAGCTCTTTCCACTTGTTTTCATCATAACATTGTTAATGGGAATTGCATTATATTGATCATGATATGGCTTTGTATACTTATTGGGAAGACTTTAGGGTCTTTTTGGATGGTCTGCTCCATTATTGCTTTACCACCATATAATGGTGCACCTGAGAGTGAAATGTGGATAGAATTTTGGCGAATTTGTATAGACTCTGAGCTGTATAAATTGACCTTAACGAATTGGCCCATATTTAGTGATTAGCTACAAATGTGAGATCTAATTCTAAGCCGAATGCATAATGTGCTCTGAACATCCCATCCCTACTTTGTTGGCAAACACACCCTCAATTTATATCATCTATTAACCGTGATTCACTTGATGTTTTGCAGGCAACAAAGTTAGAACCAAACAGTATGTCTACTCGATATGCTGTCGCACTTCATCGGATAAAAGATGCTGAAAGGTCTCAAGATCCCACGCAACAGCTATCATGGGCTGCCAATGAAATGGCTTCAATACTTCGAGACGGTGACCCGTCAATCATTGAGCCTCGCATAGCATGGGCTGGGTTAGCCATGGTTCATAGGGCACAACATGAAATTGCTGCAACTTTTGAAAATGGGGAAACCGATCTAAAAGAGATGGAAGAGAGAGCTTTTTACACTCTCGAGCAGGTGGTTATTTTTGATAGTGATATTTATATGTATGGGCTCAATTTCCCCCTGTTTTTGGACCATTATATGTAATTTTTTGATGGGTGCGGTTTGTATAAGGCCGAGGCTCTGAACAATCAAAGTAAGGTGCACCTTCAAATAGTGTTGAGAGGTGTGGTTTCAATACAGGAAATCTTTGTGATAGCCTGAAAATTTATTTTCATCTCTAATTATAAAATTTAAAGCTTCAAAACTACTGTAGATTAAGTAGATGTATGAAAATTTGAAAATTGACAATCCAAAAATGCATTACAAGATGCACTATTTCCATAACTTGAAATCCATTTTTTCTCATGTCCATGCATCTTGAGGTCAAGATGATCAATTTGAGGATTTTTTGGCATCAAAACAACCTCTTCTAGTGAATTTTTTGAGGTGCACCTTAATTTGATTGTTTAGAGCCTCGCACTTGTATAAACTTTTTCCTTTTCTGAATGCCTAGATGAAATCTACATGTGTTGAAAAATTTGGAATCCAATGGACCTCTTATTTTCAAAGTGACGCGCACTATAGTATAAGTTTGTTGTCTTATATAATCTTTTTCCTTGAGAAAGAATTGTATAAGCCAACAGGCTTAAAGCTACACTATAAGCCAAGCTCCCAAACGCATTTACATGTTTTTTGGGCTGAAATTTTGCACATCATCTTTGATTCAGAAAAGAACAAATGTCAAAAAAAAAAAGATTGTGTTCTCAACGGCGTATATTCACCGTCCTCCAAATGGGCGGCCTGTGAGAATTCAATTTTTAATTTCTATCATTTATTTATTTATTTATTTTATTTCCTAGATGAGATCTGCATATGTGGAGAGAATCTCATTCTCAGCATTGATTGAAAAAAAAACTATACACTGATTCATTCTTATGTTCTTCTATGGGGAAAAAAAGCTGATTTTGATTTCTGTGACTGTATCCTGCAAATCTTTTCATGGTTAACAACTTTATATTAATACCAGCTTCTGAAACATGTTCTGAAATATCCTTTTCTCAAGATACGGTTAACTTCTGAATATTTCAATTTAATATACTGGATGTAATCCTTGCACTTGATTATATTTGCAGCACTTAATGGAACTTCCATTAGTTGAAGTAACAATGAATAAATATATCCATTAATGGATTTGTTTAGTTATTGGTATTGTTACTGTGAATATTGAAAATATTAGCACAGCTCCTGTTTATGCCTTCTCCCATTGGCATGATGTATAACTAATATCTGCTGATGTTCATTGTGAAAAAATGCACAAGGTATACAAAAGTGTTTTGCTTGTTAAGCGGTTGAGTGCTGATAACAGCTGCTTTTGTAATTTGCGCTGCATTAACATGTTTCTTGTTTCTTTGAAGTATGCCTTTGTCAGTCACTTTATTGCTTTTCTTATAGAGGTATACCATTCTTGCACTGGAACGTTTACTATTGCATTTGTTAGCATCATTTATTGTTCATAAAACTGACTTCTTATTCTGACATTGCACCTCCATGCAAATTATCTTTGCTTTCTTCTCCTTGTTTGCTTTATTTGCACTGAGTCCAACTGTCTCATTTGTTATATCTAGATCAATAAAAGTTACTGTAAAAAAATATTATGTCATTAGTGTGATGAGATCGCCATAGTGGTTTAAAACTGGGACTGTTTTGGGACTTGCTAGGGTCTGAAGCTCTAGTCTAAAAACTCGGACTCGGCTGTGTCTGTTGGAGACTTGACTGAGTCCTAAAGGATTAATGACAAAATATTGGGAACAGGTGAGACTCGGCTAGTTCCCATTAGTTTGGTTCCTACTTGGCAGCTGGCCGAGTTTGAGTAACTCGGGTGAGTCCTGGTCAGACTGACCTAGTTTTGATCCACTGGACGGTGCTGCATATGTATAGATATCCCTGCTAATTTTCATTTCCATATTTTCTTGAAATCGATACAATGTTTAAAGCATTTGTATTTTGGATTATATTAATCTACTGCTACTTTTCTCATGGAAAATCTAGGGCTCTATTAATCTTGGCATTCCTTTTCAATATGTGAACAGGCAATAGAAGAGGATCCAAATGATGCCCTTTCATGGCACCAGTTAGGCCTCTATAAGCTTTGTACTCTACAGTTCAAGACAGCGCAGAACTACTTTAAAGCTGCAGTGGCACGCCGCAGGGATTGCAGCTATGCATGGTCCAATCTGGGTAAGCTCTCTCTCTCTCTATTTTTTGAGAAGCTTGTTGATCAACTATCTAGTCAGATTTTAAAATCTTGAAGTTTGATGCCCTGTGCCTTTTTTCTGCGTTAGTTAGCTGGGTTTGGCACCCCCACCCATACATTCAACAGAGATTTTAAACTATGCTACAGAGCTATATTTGGAGACAAATTCGAGGGAACCAAAACCCTCCCATATGGATCCCAATTTTTCCTTGGTGTTTCTTAGTTTTGTTTAAAAAAGAACATGATAGGCTGATACATCACAGATAGCAAGTCCAGAATTTTGGCCTCTTTCTTTTCAGCATAAGGTGGCTAGGATAGGGGCTTACCCATGTATCAAGTAAAAAAAAGCAGTGAATCAAAACTCAACGTGTACGACTTTGACACGCCCAATTTACTCTTGACTTAGCAGTCTCTCCATGGGAACCAGCTGAGTGTGACCTTTTCCATTATTTTAAAATATGTGCATATATTTTTTAGGACTTGGCTGAGACCTGACTAGGGCTTGGCTTCCTAGCAATCCCCAAAATCTGAGTCCTTGTTTTTAAACCATGATGTATAAGTGATGTATACGATCTGGTATATATCTTTAGGACTCATTTGGAGAAATGATAAAAACCAAAATGCTCCCAAATAAAATACCTTTTTTTTGTTATAATCTAAAATACTTGGATCTTTAAGTTGGTAATTGCTCAACATGTAGGCATCTCTTTGCAATTGTCTGAAGATTTATCAGTAGCTGAAGAAGTATACAAGCAGGGTCTCTCTTTGGCCAATCCACAACAAGCGCATGCCATTTTTTCGAATCTTGGTAACCTTTACAGGCAGCAAAGGCGATTTCAAGAGGCCCATGAGATGTTCGAGAAATCTTTCGAACTATGCCCAGGTTATGCTCCTTCTTACAACAACTTGGGACTTGTTTTTGTTGCAGAGGGTAAATGGGAGGATGCCATAGACTGCTTTAAGAAGGCTTTGGCAGCAGACCCCCTTCTTGATGCTGCCAAGTCTAATATGATGAAAGCAGAGGCAATGTCTAGGGTTTCTATGGTCAATGGTTCATCTGAGATGAGAGATAAAGTAGAGTGAGAGAGGCTGGCTTTTGAGAATTCATTTTGGAGAGATCGGCTGGCATGTTTCCTCATATGACTTCCTGTTACATGTTCACTGGGGGGAAGTTGTTTCTTGTGGTTCAAGGTGGGTATCAAAGAGAACGGTCTTGCTTTGCTTTGAAGGGAATGATCTCTCTCTCTCTTAGAGAGCAAAGAGAACGGTTTTGCTGAGAATCTCTCTCTCTCTCTCTTATGGAGGAGCACTGTGATATGTTTTTGAGGATGATCCACCCTCTCTGAGGTCATGGCGATGCAGTTGATCAAAGAGCAAGGTTTTGCTACTATGTACCTCTGGCTTGAAGCAGTTATGGGAAATCCATTGGGACTTTTTCGAGTTATTTAAATTGTAATAGTCCATTGGCCTAGTATGGACAGGGTTCATTCTCTTTCAGGCTTGCTGTAAAGGTTCGACCATTTGTATCATTGATGTTTCATGCCATTTGCCTCATATTTTCAATTCATATGAGAGAAATATTATTTGTCTACCTAGTGTTCGCAAAATCGAACCGTAATGATTAACCAGACATAGGCTTGAAAGCGGTTTAACTGGCATAACCGGTAAACCGGTCAATTCAAGCGTTCTAACTGGGCAAGTTTCAAGCGGTTAAAAAAGTATTGAAAAGAAATACAAAACAAATCTACTAAAATATGATATGAAAAGCATATGAAGAATGATTAAAACAAAATACATTCAAATGAAGTTGAAAATTAATGAAAAAAAAAGATTTTAACCCATTTTATATTTTTCGATGGCTATTTAAAATTTCTAAAAAAAGATGGAAAAATGTAAAAGTCAGTATTAATGACCAAAACAATTTTTAATCTTTACCATAATGTAAAGAATATTTAAAAATACCTCACAAATCAAATTCTTTATTTTAGAAAATTTATATATATTTTTTGAAATTTTTTTAAAATACCGGTTGATCACTTTAATCGCCTAAAACCAGAATTGGCCCAGTCTAACGGGGCAGCTAGCAGTTAGATCGAGCGATTTTGCGAACAATGATCTTGCCGAATGATTTCCAGTACTTAGTAGATAATTGTGCCTGTAGGGTTGGAGCTTTCAAATGATTTCCAGTACTTAGTAGATAATTGTGCCTGTAGGGTTGGAGCTTTCAAACTTTCCCAAGGTTGAGTAGTCTGTTATTTGTTGCACTCTCTCTCTCTCTGCATGATGCCAAAAGAAGCAAAATTATTGGTTATGGAGCATTTATTGTTTTCGCTTGCCTTGGAAGTAGCAAAATGCCTTAATAGAGGGAGTATTACTGTATTAATGAGGAGTTACCTGCAATCCATATTCCTGGAGGGAAAGCAAGAACTGATGTAAGAATATAATGCAGGCTCTCTCTCATTTGATGGCTATGGTTTGTATTCGAAGGAGTGACCTTTTATTTTTGGTTAAATAAGGACTGAGCTGTTGTAAGGTTACATGCTAAATGCTAATAGCCATACCCTGTGGGTTTATGATCTTAGGTACCTGTGAGCTTCTACGTCCTTTGAGACTGAAAAAAGTTTCAGTATAAATCTTAGTTAAGAAAAAATTGTAATAAATTGACCCAGATAGAGAGAGATTTCTTGAACAGCTTCAAGAGAGAGAGAGAAAGAGCTCTTGTTGGATAGCTTCATACCAATGCAACTTTGCGTTAGAGTTTATACTCATAGTCATTATCATCAACGTTTCCCAACTATTTGGTTCAAGGAGGGTACAACTATTTGGTTTAAGAAAGGTGAAGACATTGAATTTTTCATTGACCCGTCCCGTTGTGTTAAGTAGGCAGTCAATGTAACACTTTACCAAAACTTTTAATGAATCTTGAAGTTTATATTCGTGGATAAAAATTAAAAGGAAAAATTTATATATTGGTGCAACACTAAGCAATCAAATTAAAGTGTACACTTAAAATTTCACTAAAAGAGGCTGTTTTGATGCTTAAAAAATTCTCAAAGCAATTATCTTGACCTCAAGATGTTTGGAGATAAAAAAATATGGATTTCATGTCTTGAAAATAATACATCTTGATGGTATTTGCTGGACCTCAAGATGTTTGGAGATAAAAAAATATGGATTTCATGTCTTGAAAATAATACATCTTGTGATGGTATTTGCTGGACCGTCAATTTTTAGATTTTCACTTGCTCATATATCTACGCAATCCACATTACTTTCATAACTTTAAATTTTATAAGTACAAATGAAAATAATTTTCTGATCATTACAAAGATTTGAAGTACTGAACCAACATCTTTCGACACGATTGCGAGGTGTGCATTATTTTAATTATTTAGGTTATACAAACCACACCCAAAACTAAAACCATAATTATCCTTACATTTGCAAAATAATGTGTACATAGACTCTTTCCAAGTCGTAATCTCATAAACAAACTCCTACTTTATATTATCAAAAAAAATAAGATTCTACTTTAGCACTTACAAACTCTTACATTTGAGAGAGAGAGAGAGAGAGGGAGAGAGGCTCAGGTCAACTTCACTCTGATCTCATGCGATTGATCTGGTTGAGTGCTGGTTGAAGAATGTTATATAGCACCCACAAAACAGCAGGAGTGATAACAAACAAGAGAAGTTGTCCCCTGTTATCACTCGAAGCATCTGCAATTTGAGCAATCTCACTAGCTTTGGCACTTGATTCACCCAGGAGCCCATAAACCCCAGCCCCCAAACCAAGCCCAACAATTACACCCTTTGAGCTTCTCATTCTGTCGATTTGGTTAAGAGCTGGTCGTAAAATGTTAAATAGGACCCATGCAATGGCTGGAATAAGGGGAATAAGAAGGGCTAGCCCTCGGTTATCGGATTCGGCTAAGTCTGCGATTTGCTGGGCAGCCATGGCGGAATCACAGCAACTGATGGTGGAGAAGAGAGCACCAGCCATTGTTGCACCAAGTGAAGCTTGAAGGCTGGTCAGGTTGTTTAGAGAGAGAGGCTTTGGTAGGGTTTGTAGAGAGAGAGAGGGCTTGGTTGGGAGAGTGGGCTTGGTGGTGGTTTGGGGTGTTTTTAGGGTTAGACAGTTTGGGTTGAGCATTGCCATGGTTATGGTCGCCATTGAAAAGCACTGTTCTTCTTCTCTGTACAAAGCTGGTTCTTGTTGTTGGTTGTAATGGAAATGGGTTTTGGTTGAGTGGTTGTAGACTGTCGAGCGAGAGAAAAGCATCCAATGAAAATATGGCATTTGGATTGCTGCTTATCCACATGGCCATCTTGTGATCACATTTTCTCTCTTGCCACCGTCGTCTAATCATCTTATCGCTTCCCCACCGTGAAAACAAAACATTGCTCAATATGATATTTTCTTTAGGCCTGGCAACGGGCTAGGGGCGGGGCTTTGGTGACCATTGGGTAGGACCACGTCTGGCCCGACATGTACGGTCGTTCGTTGCCGGGATTGGCTTTGACTCGATGTGGACCGGGTGGAGCCAAATAAAATCAAATAAAAAGCTAAAGAAAAGAGGGTTGGGCTGGCTAAACGAGGTCTACACTGGACCTGGCCTAGCACCACGCATTAGGTTTTTAGGGTTGGACCGGGCCTCTAGCCCACTTCCACCCCTAGATTTCTTCCTTTCCTTCTTGCTTAGCAATTTAGGGAATTGGATCCAAAATGTACATTTAATTTACCCGTCGAACGCCTATTTTAAGGGGCCCAAAACTCTCAAATGACTTTTAGATTAGGATGAGGTTTTTATAAGGCCTAGGCTTTATGAAAACAAGATAAAGCCCCACCAGAAATCTTCATCTGGAAAGTGCTTTCCAATTTGGAAAAGTTTATGACTAGGTTTAAAATCAATTTTCGACAACGACAATGAAATTTGAAAATAGAAAAATGGTATAGATTTTGTGGATTTGTGAACGCTTATTTTTAAAAGCAAAATGGATGGTCTAGATAATTTGTTATAATATGCATTAAATTTAAAGCTCGAAATCTTAGATTTTTTTCACAACTATAATGTTCAAGTCGAGATGATCGATGCAAAGGTTTTCCAATGCTTGACTTGTAATTTTCGACGAGTTATAAAACGAGGATTTATTCGACGAGTTATAAAACGAGGATTTACTTATTTTGATAAGGCTTTAGCCCTAAAACCATTTTCCTTTAGACTAATCTAATAGGAAAAAGTTTAATAAGGATGCAACCTTATAATGTAGAACTACGGATGCCCCTCAAATATCCATTGGAAAAGGATGTTTTAATGTTGAAAACCGTTTGATTGATCATCTCGACATCGAAATGTATGACCACGAAAAATAAAAGGATTTTAAGTCTCAGAAATAGTGCATTTTACAAGATATTATCTACACCGTCCATTTTCAAGATTTTCATATGTTTACAGATCTACTTGATTTTAACCATTTTTGAAATTTAAAATTTTATAATTAGATATAAAAATAGATTTTGAGATAATCCTAAAAACATTTTATATTAAAATTATATACCATGATAAAATTTGAAGGTGCATCTTACCTCTACACCTACGGATGCATCCGTGTGCCAACTGCACCCTTATTTTAATATAATATTAGATAAGAAGCAAATTATGAAGTAGAATTGTATAACGCCTCAAATCAAATTCCCTTCCAACAGATAATCTAGATTCTCCACTTTGATGTATGTGTAGGGACTTTTTATGTCAAAGTCATTTTTTTCATTAAAGTTGATTAAGGTCAATTAACACAATTTACAATTGGAAATATAACCAATGAGACCATTTAATTTTTATACAAAGAGGTCACAATCATTATTGACGGTTCGATTTAAATTCAGGTAGTTGAGGCATCAAATGCTTGTTAAGAAAGAAATGATATCTATTTCTACTACAGTTCTCAGTGAATAATTCTACAATTTGCAGTTGGGATGTGACTAAATTGGCAATCTATTTTAAAGTATTTGGTCCTTTCATGGAAGAAGGGATTCGAGGCAATGGAGGGAGAGTAAATGATATCTAGCTTCTGAGAATTTGCAGTGGACAGTGCATGATATCTAGCTTCTGAGAAGTATTTCTGATTTCTTATGAGAAGTTACAAGATTGGTTTTCAGAAACATGCAAAAACTTGTAGCGGATTTCTAATCTTCCAAAGTACCGGCCCATTCTGCATCCACATAATCAGATGGATGTAAAGAAGAAGATGAAGATAGTGGAATGCCCTTTTTGAGGTTTGTTCTTGATATTTATAAGCACTCTGTGAATTGAATCCATATGATGTTCGGTAGGTTCATCTGCGACCTACTACGAATTCCTACTGCATAGCATATGGTAAATGAGACTTCCAATAGCTCTTCTATAAGAGGGGACCTCATTGAATGGCTCAACTTCACTAACTGTTAGATTGTGATTTTGCTCAATAGGAGCATCAATGGCTGATTCTCTTTAGATAATCTAATGCATCTTTTAATGCGAAATGGGAATTTCTTGGACTTTATAACCTCTAGTCTACGAAAATGATTCGAGTATCTGAGATCTTTCACGTCAAACTAGCAAACTAAAGGCTTATTTAATCTCCCAATACCTCCCAATATCATCTGTATAGACCAACAACACAATACTGCCTAATGCAGATTTGAAACTAAATGAAAATAAATCCACTGGACCTCTCTTGATGCCAGAAAATATAAGTAACTGCCAAAATTTTCAAACCAACAACTATATGTTTATTCAAGCCATAGATGGTTTTGTTGAGTTTGCAAAGTTTACGCGAAAGAAATTGATTTGATGGCCCAAACACGAGTTTTGCGTACACTCCATCAACTAGACCACCGAAGGAAAGCTTTCCTAGCATCAAGCTAGGAAAGAGACGACTGTTTGAGAGTGACTCGAACACGAACAATTTTCATAGTTTGAATCTTAGTAATATGGCAGAATTTATCTATATATTCAATTTTGTAAAATTCAGAGTAACCTTTGGCAACAATGCGAGCCGTTTATCTCTCATTTTGTCCCTCTGGATTCCTTTTAATTTGTTATGAACCCATTCGGACCAAGTTTATTTCTCATTTAAGTCACTCAGATATGCATAGCATCAATTCAATGAAATCTGTGTGGCCTCTTAATAAGAATTGGGTTACTGAGTAGAAAATAAAAGGGTTGATATGCTTTACAAGAGGATGAAAAGGTTTCATAAGAACATATTGTTCACTTGGACGAAGAACTTTGAGATGAGGTCCTCTAAAAAGGCCAATCATGAGCAGGATGCACAGACATTGCATGTCAGAGGGCGACACTGTTCCTGATGCGAGCGAAGGGCTTGTTATTTTTTCTTGTTCTTGTACAACATTGAGGGTAGAAGGTGGAACTTCAAGAGGAAGTGGTCAAGGGATTGAAGGTGAGAAGTCAGAAGAAAAGAAGAGGAAGAATGAACTTTTAGATGCGAACATAGGATACAAGTTCTTCTCTTGGGGTGAATCTTCAGGGGAAAAATAAGGGCAATCTTCATGAAAGGTGACATTCCGAGACATAGAATTTGTGATGTCTAACATTATAACACTGATAACATTTCTGATGAAGAACATACCCAAGAAACATACATCCAACAGCTTGTGGTTCAAGCTTATTTTGTGCTGATCAGCTAAGAACATGCCACTTCCAATTAAGCAAAGATTATGAGGCTCAAGTGCGAGCGATCTGACAAAACATGGTTCGGTAAGTTTTTACAAGGTAAGAAGCGTAAAGATCATCTTTAGCAAAAAATCGAGGAGCATAAAACAGATGTGATTGAGTATCCTTAAGAAGATGTTGATTCTTCTCTTAGCAACATCAATTTGTAAAGGAATATCACAAGAAGTAAATTGGTGTATAATACCATGAGAGGAGAGAAAAACTTTGAAATACATTAAAGGTGTATTCACCAATGAAATTTCACCTCCAAGTTTCTTTTAAGTTTAAGTAGATTCATATTGAAGAGACTTTGAGATAGGTCCAAAAGTACATGAATGGAAATAGTGAGAAAATATATAGGGTCCACTGATGATATGACCTTTAATAGAGCATAATGGTAAACTAAGATTCATGTAGCCGAACCCAGTTAATTGGAAAACAATTATGATGATGATGATAATATCAAAGAAACTTTGACCATCTTGAAGGACCTCACTTGTTCTATGCATTATATATATCCATGTGCATTTTGAATAATCATTAACAATTATAACAAAATAATGAAAACCAAACAATCAAGAAGTGGTTGTAGCACCTCAAACATAAGTATGCACTAGATAGATTGCCTTGAAATTCTAATTTTTATGATATAAATGAAAAGATATAAGTTAACATCAATTTTTTTTTTTTTTAAGGTGGTCCCATATTTCTTTTGGGGAAGTTATTCTAAAAAGAATGCAGCCAATTGGAGCTTAAATGGTGTTTCAATAGCCATGTTAAATTAGAAGATCGTTGCTTCACCAAATGAGCACCTCAAAGAAGAGTCTGTTGTTTGTTTATTTTTTTGGTTTTTTATTCTTTCTTTCCTTGTTTTCTCTCAGAGAGAGCCATCAAAATAAGCCTAATAAATAGCAACCTGTAGTTCCCTTCCAAAAATATAACACTCACGGTTTGTGATGGTTTGAGAGTAGAAGCTAGGAAAGTCAAAGCCATAGTATGTGCTCCATTATTGAAGTTTAATTTTTTTTTTTTTTTTATCCAAAAAAATGTTTTGGCATTGCTGGAGATGACATTGATCCATTATTGGAGTTTAATTGATGGTCTTCAGATGACATTGCTCGAGAAAGTGATGAGAGATCAAGAAGAGAACTTGGGAGATAGTCTTGATGGAGGAACCAATGTTATGGAAATCGACTCGGCCAAGGTACTCGCCCCATCGACATGGAATTTAGTCGGCCGAGTCAGTGTCGACTCGACGGGCTTACATGCAACCCAATAAAATAAAATAGAAGAACAAAAATTGAAAATAGCTAAAACTAAGAAACAATAAAAAAGGTAAGAGAAAACATTACAAGTCTAAAAGGATGAAAAAAAAGCTACAAAAGATAAAGTATAAAATTTTTTGATTTAAATATAGATGAAGTTTTCTATAAGGCCTAGGCTTTATGAAAAAAAGAAAAGAAAAGCCTCAGTGCAAATCCTCATCGGGAAAGTACTTTCGGCGATGAAATTTTTTTATGATGGCTCTAAAATCAATTTCCAACACCGACAATAA